GGACGCCTACTAAGGACAGGGGTGGGGTGTAAGGAGACTGAAGAGACGGGAGTAACTGAATTTCTGGGCTAGGAGGACTTGTGGACACGGCCTAGTTATTTTCAAGAGTTTTATTAGCTGTAGAACCAACCTTGTTTACTGTTAAACTAGCAGAAGATAGGTACCTCCAGGGGCAGGAAAGGGAGGGGAGTCTGATCTCATCTGGGTGGGTCCTTGTCACCTGCTGTTTGGACCTGGGCCGATACTTTCTTTACACATGAGGAAGGTGGTCCAGGGAGGGTGAGGACTCAGCCAGTTCCTTTATTGATTTCATGAGGAGCCCAGGTCTTTGCCTTCTTGTCCAGTGCTTTGTTGGGGGGGGCGGGTGGGGAGTTTTACTCTGTATATAGCCTTGAACTAACAGTAATCCTCCTGCCTCAGCCTCCCGAGTGCCAGGGTTATAGGCATAGGTCAACATACCAGCTTCCAGTGCTTTTTTTTTTTTTTTTGGTATTGGGGATTGAACTTGGGACCTTGCACTTTTGAGGTAGGCAGCACAACCACTGAGCTAAATCCCAGCCCCCAGTGCTCTTTTTAAGAGATTTGCAAGACAGAAAGAAGAGAAGAGCTGGGTGTGTTGGCGCATGCCTGCAGTCCTGGCACTTTGGGAGGCTGAGGCAGAAGAATTGCTACGAGTTCGAGGCCAGCCTAGGCTATACAGTAAGTTCCAGGTCAGCCTGAGCTACATAGACTCTAGGTCAAAAAAAAAAAAGAGAGAGAAGAGAAACATTCAGAGATACATGGAGTCCCTTAAGGTTTTGAAACTCGAGAGGTTAGATGTTGATTTTTCTCCCTGAAGAATGTGAGAGGGAATATTTAGTTCCCTTAAAAAAGGAAGAATCCAGGCCCAAACCAGTGACCCAACAGGAGATTTCTCCTGCAGAAAGCCCAGAGAGGGGTGGTCCAGAGGCCTTTGCTCTTCAGCGTGGAGGGGAGGGGGCTGTTCTCCTGCTGTGTCCCAGAGGGGCTTCTCTCCTCTGCTGTCTGTCCATCCGGAAGATGTCGTCCCAGCCCCTGTGTCCATGCCTCCCTCCCCCAGGGAGGTGCCAGGCTGGGAGGTGGACCTCCCCGGGGGGATCCTGAGGAAGGCAGGACTGTGGGCTATCTGCCCAGAGTGCCTGCGAGCTTTGGAGGTGGTCAGATGTCTTCCATGGCTCCTCCTGGCTTTGGGAGCCGTCTCCCCCTTTCCACAGTGGCCAGGACATGGGTGCAGTCTGTGTCTTTGGACAGATCACCCCTTCTTTCGAGGGCTGCTTTTGAATGGAAAGCCAGTGACCTCAGAGTATGTTAGTGCATTTCAAAGCTTTTTAAGGAGCAAAACCATTTTTAGACATGAAATTGTTGGCACACGTTGGGGACGTTGAACAGATCACAGCAGTTGTCCCTGGTTGAAGCGGGGTGGGGAAGCTGGAGCCAGGGACCTGCCCCACTGTCCCTTGTCCCCTCAGGGAGGGCAGAACTTCCTGCATGGAGCTCCCAGAGCGCCAGATGCTCAGGGCCACAGCCACGGGGACTCTTGGAGGCTCAGGGCTCAGGGCAGGCGCAGGATCTGTGCTGGGTCCACGTCAGCACAGGACAGGGAGAACAGCATCGCTCGGGAAGAGTGGGCGGAGGGCCGAGCCACTCAGCCATCTCCCTCCTCATCTGCGTGTGTGTCCAGCCCCCGAGAGGAGGGACCCCGGCGTCTCCCGGCTGCCAAAGCTTGGGTTGGCCACGTGCTATTCCTGGCTTCACAGCTGCTGGCACCAGGGAGAGGTTTGGTTTGCAGGCCACGTCAGGGGACCTGTAAGAGCTGCCACGTTGTCAGGGCTGGGCTCTCGGGCCTTCATCCTCCCTTCCGAAAAGATTTCCAGGCCTGTGGGGCTGCAAAATAAAACGGGTGCAGGTGTGAGTGTTCCCGGGAACCCAGAGCAGGTCCCTTGATCTCCCTGAACCTCTCGGTTTCCTTTCCAGACAAGAGCATAGGATCGAATAAACATTCCCAGAGAGTTGGTCCACAAGGCACAAGTTCTGTGGGGGCACCCACAGGAGGACGTGGGACAAGACTTCTGAGGAAAGCGTTCAGAAATTCCTGAGAAACAGGGCTGGGGGCAGGGGAACCGCTCCCCAGGACTCTCTTGTGCGGAACCCCCCAAAGCCGGTCCCATTCTGATGGGCCTCAGGAACATCTGCCGGGAAGGTGGTAAATGCCCCATTTCCCTAGTGCGTTCTGAACCTGAGTTCCCCTTTCCGGAATATGTTATCAGATTAATATTTTGTGGGACCAATGTCAAACTAGAAAACCTAATCATAAGTCTGACACTGCTTGAGGCATGCCAGGTGAGGCAAGTACATCACCCATTACACGTAGGACCTCATGTAACCCCCCCAACGCCTCATCTTTCTAACTTTACACCGGGGAAACCAAGGCTGGAGGTTAAATAGCATGCCCCAAATTTTCTTGAGGTAAATAACTTTTCCAAGAATTTGAGTCCAGAGATCTGACCCCAAAGCTAGGCCTCTTGGCCTCTCTCTTATATTTCTCTTCTCCTCATTCTTTCTTTTCAGACAGGGTCTCACTCTGCAGTCCAGGATGGCCTCACACTTAAGATCCTCCTGCCTCGGCCTCGGGGTGCTAGGATTATAGGTGCGGGCCACCACATCTGACCTCTTGTACTTCTGGACTCTCTAGAGCCCACGTTCATCGGATACGCTGACTCTGAACCAGGAAGGGGCCAAGAATTATAGTCATGCTCCCTTGATGGGTAAGGAACCCGGGAAAGGTGGATGCGAAGGCGCTTGTTTCGGATAGGTTTGTGGGCCCAGCCATCTCTCCGGGGCCCTGGGGAGGCAGCGGTGCAGCGGAGTCTTGGAGCAAGTTAGAACTCTCCAAGTCTGTCCTCAGCTCCCCGGGGGCTGCTGTGTGACCTTGTGCAAGTCCTTCTGTCCCCCAGCCAAGGTTGTTCCCGAAGTCTCATCTTTATACACGAAGTAAATGTGCCCCTCAGCGAGATTAGGAGGACAGAAGTCCTTTGTGAGCTGAGAGAGGGAGGAAACCCCCAGCTCCTCAGTGGGAGCTGGCCAGTGCGGAGGGAGCTGAAGTCCAGTTTCATCTCCGCCGTGTTCGGCCTGGGCCTGGTCAGCAGCCGCTCTGTCCGGGGGCCCAAGGGCACAGGGACAATGGCATCTTTGTGCCTGGTGGGGGAAAGACACAGTAATGAGGCAGGGGACTGAGGCACACTCAGGGTGCCCAGTCCTCCCTAGCTCGGAGGCCTTGACTCCCAGCCAGACACACAAAGGTACATTTCAGCGTCTGGACACATAATCCCCAGTGAGGCCTCTGGAGGTTTACAGCAGACTACAGGTGGCCTAGAACGCAGCTACAGGCCCAGCTGCCCACTGTCCACTGCGCTCAAGAACCTCCACCCGCCCAGGTGGTGAGGACAGTGTGGGGTCGGACAGAGGGGCTTATGAGCCCTGGGCCAAAGCCTTTCGGGACCAGGGCATCCAGTGTAAGTGCCAGGGATGGATAGGTTTGGAGCAGACAGGATGGCAGTAAGCTCTGCCGGGCACAGGGAGCGTTGTGTCTGGAGTTGAGCTCCTCCTGCGGGTTCCTGGCTCACCACTGGGACCCTGGACAAGGTCCCCATTTCCTCTGACCTTTCAGGCTTCGTTTTAGAATGATGGTACCTACCTCTGCTGGGCCAGTAATGTCCCCCTCAAGATGTCCCTGTCCTAATCCCCAGAACCTGTAATTGTGCTTCCTTACATGGCCAAGAGGACTGTGCAGATTAAGCTAAAGGTTTTGAGATGTGAAGAGGATCCTAGATTGTCCCGGTGGGTCCAATGTGATCTCAGAAACCCTTAGAAGATAGAGGCAGAGGGTGTGGAAGCACAAACGGGTTCGGGTGATGAGCTTAGCAGATGGATGAGGGGCCCCAAGCCAAGGAAAGCAGGAGGTCCCTAGAAGCTAGAAAAAGCAAGGAACACAAAACAAAACAAAACAAAAAGCCAGAAAAACAAACAAAGCCAGGCACAGTGGCACAGGCCTGTAGTCTTAGTACCCTGGGAGGCTGAGACAGGAGAATTGCAAATTTGGGCCTAGTGTGGGCAACTTAGTGAGAACCTGTCCCAAAATTTTTAAAAAATGGGCCAGGCAGGAGGCAGAGGCAGGAGGACTGCTACAAGCTCAAGGCCAGCCTGAACTGCATAGTGAAACTCTGTCTCAAAACAAAACAAAATAATAAAAAGGGCTGCTCTATGCAAGGACCATTCAGTCCCCAGTACCAACCCCCCCAAAACAAAAACAAATCCCCAAAGAGAAACAAGGAAGCAAAAATTCCCCTAAAGCTTCCAGGAGGAATACAGCCCTCTGATGCCTTGATTTTAGGGCTTCTGACTCTCACAACTGCAAGACAATAGGTCCAGGGATTTAGCTCAGTGGTTCTGCTGCCTGCCTTGCAAGCAAAAGAACCTGGGTTTGATTCCTGGTACCAAAAAACAATCAAAAACTGTAAGACAACAAGCATGTCTTGTTTTTAAGCCACCAAGGTGTTCATGGAAATTTATTACAATAGTAATAGGAGGCTGATATGCTACCTCTATTGTGATGAAAATTAAAGGGTTCATGGCAGAGGCCTTTTCCCAGCATCTGCTCACTGCTCACGGAAGTTGGGTATTATTGTCTCTTTTCTTAGTTCAGTCATAACTGCTCCAATGGGGAGACCTGGTCCTTGTCAAATTTTTCAGTTCTCCTGTGTGAAATTTGTTGAGTTTTGCTTTTTTGTTTTTTTTATCAGAAGGGGTGGTGACTCAGGAATTTGAGCCCACAACACAGAACTACTGAGATCTGGCCTGTATCCCACACACGGCCTTGGGGCTGCTCTCCTCCCTGCTGATCTGCTCATCCACAGAGCATCTTTGCTCTGCCTTGAGTCCAGGCTGCCCGCTCCTGTCCAGGGCTTGCCGTCCCTATGCAGGATCCCTGGTTATCCACCCAGTCCCGGTCCAGCTCCTGGGGCTGCTTCCTCAGGTGGTCCCGGTGTCAGGGTCCAGAGGCACTGAGCAGACAGACAAGTAGTTCTCTTTTTTTTTTGGTTATTTTGAGACAGGATCTCACTATGTAGCTCCCCAGGATGGTCTTGAACTCACAGCAATCCTCCTGCCTCAGCCTACTGAGTGCTGGGATTACAGGTGTGGGCAGACAAGTAGTTCTTTGGGGCTGGAGGATCCACCTCAGAGGCAGAGCCCGGGAGGCCTGGCTTTGAGCCCCGGTTCTGTCAAGTGATGGGGCCTCAGTTTCCCATATCTGCCCTCCAGGTTCTAGCCACTACCTGATGTCATCACAGGGCTGCTCTGAGGTGGGGGATGAGGAAGTATTTGGAATGGCAAACGGGGAAGAGAAAGAGCAGCGGAGTGGGGGAGTCTCCATCCTGAAGCTTTATTTTTCCCTGTGCAGAGCTGAGGGTGGAGTCCAGGGCCCTGCCCCTGAGCTAGGGGGTCTGGGGGAAGAGGTGGTTTTTGTCAGCTTTCACCCCTGGAACGTAAGGAGCAGAAGATAGAGTCTTTGTTCCTGAGCTGGCCAGGCGGCACAGGTCAGGGGAAGGGACCAGTGAGGCAGTGGTGCTCGGGGAGGCATGGGGGCCCCAGCGTCCTCCTGCACTTGCCCAGCCAGGGCCCCCTAGGGCACCCTTTTATCTTACTCCTGTGGTCAGGGGCTAGACCGGAAGGGAAGGAGGGTAAGCAGAAGAGACAGCCAGAGTGGCCTGAAGGGGCGCTGGGCAGGCAGCAGGGACCCCAAGGACTCCGTTTCGTGAGATGGAAAGCTGTCCGGTGTTGGATCAGCGACAGGGTCCATATGGGGGTGCCGGGCAGATTGAAGGTGACCTCTCGTGCCCTGCCCTGTACCAGAACTCAGCAAGGCACAGAAGGGAGCCCTTCACGCTCCTGGCAGTTGAAGGTGTCTGCAGCACTGCCTCTGCCTAGGGTCTGACATGGTGTGGTTCATTGGGGTCTGCTGTGGCTAGGCTTGGATTCATTTGTGTCTGTTAACTCGTAGGATTGGACACCAGATGATGAGGGGTGGGAGGATTTATTCTGATGACTTTAAATTGCTGGTTTTATTGTACGGATAATTATGCAAGCAAAGAATCCACGAAAGCGTGGCCAGAGAAGGAACTAAAGGCGTGATTTTATACGAAAAGTACCCGCAACACAAACCGACAGCAACAGCAACGGCTGAAGCAACCTTGAGTGTAGACAGACCCAGACAACTCCTGAAGTCAGTGTGAGAGCAGAGTCGAGAGGCGCGTAAAACATTTTACGTACGGCAAGAAAGCTCTCGGTCACAGACAGTACAGGTACGTTATCGAAGAGGAAGGGGGCTGCACGGTGTGAAGTCCAGCAGTGGGGAGCTGGAGGAGAACTGGACAGATGACAGGATGTGCTCACCAAGCGCCCAAGCTCTGGTGATTCTTACACCGGGGCTTTTCTGTTGTTTGTGTTCAGGGCTGGGTATTGAACCCAGGACCTCCCGCACGAGGGATCTATGCTGACCTACGTCCTCGGCCTTCAGTGTTTTTCTCGTTTCTGAGAGTGGGTCTCATTAAGTTGCCCAGGCTGGCCTTGGACTTGGCGATCGTGAGTCACTCGAGTGGGGTACAGGCATATATACGTACCATGCCCCGCTTAAAACTGGGCTGTTTTCAAATTAAGTTTTATTAGTACGTGTTTGTAGCACATAGTGATTGGTTCATGGTGGGGAGCTGTGGCTTTGGATCCCTGATTTGCCATGTGCTTGGGCAAACTACTGATGCAAACTTTGTTCTGCATGTGTATAAAACAGGGGAAAGAACAAATTCTGCTTCCTAAGGCTTTGTGGGGAAATCTGTACAAAGAGCTTAGCTGCTTAGCTCCCCGCTTGGTGTAAAGCTCATGTTGCAAATACTGACCTTTGTTGTGACTGTTCAATGGTCTGTGCTGTCTGCTTTACTCTGTGAAGCTCAGAGGGGGCCTGGGATGGGACCCAAGGCAGGGTGGGGCAATACTCGGTCCTGCTCTGCCTCCCTCCCTCCCGGCAAGGCCTGGGAGGACCAGCCCGTCCTGGTCCGAGGCACCCCTGCTCCAGAGGCTCCTGTTTTCCCAAATACTCTTATCTTGGATGCAAAAGCTGCCAAGCTTTCCTTCTCTCAGGAATTCTGGCCCACGGTGAAACCCCTCATGGGCCTGGGAATGGCTTCCAATTCCTGAACCAAAGGCCTCCTGGGAGTCCTCTCCCAGGGCCAAGAGTTCTCCCTTGGCCTGTGCTCATGAGAGTCACAGCAGGTTACTCTGTGAAGAACGACACAGAGCTTCGGTTGATTTTAGTCCTCACCGTGCCTGCGAACTGCAGCAACCAAGCCTATAAAAATGTACATCTGTCCAAGGGGCAAACCAGATACCCGGGGAGCCTTCTAGGACCCTGCGTCCGTCAGCCGAGAGCTCTGGTGCCACACCCAGAAGAGGATGTGGAGCTCTTCTGGAGCAGGGCTTCCTTGTTCCTCACTGGTCCTCCTGAGAATCTGAAGGAAGCCGTGAGCCTTCTCAGCAGAAAAGTATGGAGTCCAGGCCTTTATCCTTCACTGGGTGCCTTTGAGGGTCTCTTGAAGTGCAGTGCTGGGCTTTTTTCCAGGCTGGAGCTCTAGGGCAAACAAAATCCCTCTTTTACCAGGTGAGTTGTTTGAGGTCCATTCATGTACCGTAAAAAAATGGAGCGCCAGTCGACGGGGCAGCGTTCCGCACTCGGGACACGGCAGCGAGAAGGATGTGGAGGACCTGGTTCCTGACGGTGAGGAGCATGGGGAGGAGCCGAGACGGCAGAAGGGGCCGAGCCTGGCTGGTGAGAGAGGCAGGGAGGTGCTCAGTGGAGTGGTCAGAGGGGGTCTTTCTGAGGAGGTGACACAGCGCCCGAAGGAAGCAAGGTCCGGGCACAGGACGTCTGGGAGGAAAAGTGTCTCTGCCAAAGGGAAGAGCAAGCACCAAGCCCCGGGGTGGGGAAGCCCTGGAGCAGCTGAGGCATGGAGGAGAAGCTGGTGTGGCCGGAGTGGAGGCTGGGAGAGGGGACGCGAGAAAGGCAGGGCACGGTGTGTGCAAGTTGTCATAACGCTTCTCTGCCTTCTCTCGTCCCACGTCCTGCAAACCCAGTCTACGCTCAAGGTCCACCTCTTTTGTTCTGTTTTGTTTTTTTGAAGCAGGGTCTTGTTGTAGAGTTCAGCCTGGCCTCGAACTTACTGTGTAGCCGCCCGTTTGTGGCGATCCTCCTGCCTCAGTCTCCCGTGTGCTGTGATGTGATTACAGGCCTGCTCCAACATGCCGGGCTGAGGTCCACCTCTTTTAAGATGCCTCCCCGAATCTGGACCCTGGGAGGTTTCCAGCCTGCGGCTCTCAGGCATGTGGTTATATGCCTAAGGCTGGTCCTATCAGCAAAATCCAAAGCTCCCTGAGGACAAGAACCAGGCATTCATTCTTGTATCCTGAAGGGATAGGCATGCAGTAAACATTCAAGGAAAACCTGTTTCACTGAGCAGCTCGTGTCCCATAACATAAACCAGGCTGGGCGTGATGGCACAGACTTGTAGTCACAGCGCTTGGGTGACTGAGGAAGGAGAATCTCAAATTTGGGGACAGCTTGGGGAACAGAGAGAGTTCAAGATTGGCCCGGACTACAGAGCAAGACCTTGTCTCAAAAAAAAGAACCCCATTCAAATGTAGAATTGGCTTCTGTGGTAGTTTCCCTTTTGGGGAGGTGATTTCAGGCAAGCTGCTTACCCTCCAGGAACTCATGATTCCTATTGTTAATATGGAATAGTAAGGACACCCAAGCGAAGTCGCTATGAAGATTAGTGTCCCCAGGAAACCTCGGGCTTTGTTTGATCCCTTCTTGCCTAACTGGAGTCAGAGTGGAGTGTTTGGACCAAGCCCCAAACCACCAAGGAAGATGTCACTTTGGCGGCCTGTTTTGTCTGGGCTGAGGCCTGGCCTTGCCTCTGTCACACACGCAGCCCCTCACTCCGTGTTGCCCAAAGCTAGGGAGGACTCTCAAAGGACTGCTAGGCCCCCAGGGAATCCCGTGCCCGCTCCAGGGCTCCAGGGCACAGGGGCCCTGAACAGGGATAGGGCTGTTCTCAGAGACTCCTGCGACCCTTCCAGGTCTGGTACCCAGTGAGCTGTTTAGGCGGCAGCCCAGGCAGGCGGCCTTGGGTGTCCGGTCAGGGCAGCCCATGGCAAGGAGGGGAAGACAGAAATGAAGGACAGAGGTAGCTCTGGCTCTGGGGGGAAGAGGGAGGCCAGCCAGGGAAGGAGGAGACAGAGGAGGAGGAGGAGGAGGGGCCGGGGCAGGAGGGCAGACAGACCCAGCCCAGAGCTCTCTGCTCCTTCCTGTCGCCTGTTTCTAAACCCCTCCACTTTCCTGCGGACCGCCAGACCGCCCGGACCGTTCTGCCCAGCCGCCGCCTCCTTCCTCCAAGGTAGGTACAGCCGGCGTCCCCAGGAGGGAGGGCCGCTCTACATCTCCATCCCTTAGGGCTCCCCGAAGGACGTGGTCACTGACCGGCCCGCCTGTCGCCTGTTGCTTTCCAGGAGCGGCCTCACAGGAGGTCTCTTGTCCCTTAGGTCTGCAGAGAGTAATCCCACCTAGTCTCCGGGGGGATCTCAGTCTCTCCTCTCATCTCCCTGGACTCACGGGCTCCCTGACTGTCCTCTCTGCCCATTTGGGGAATGGGGCGGTCTCCTCCCCTCTGGGAACCCCATCCCTGTCACAGCTGCAGCAGGGGCTGGCCCCTGCCCGCCAGGCTGTCCTGTCCTGGGAACGAACCTTCTACACTCGGCCCAGGTCAGGCCTCTGTTTTCTAAGACAGATGATGCCCTCTGGAAGGCAGAGGGGAGGCTTTTCCCTCGCCAGTGCTCAGCCCTCGTTTTCCTCCTGCCTTCTGACTTCTCTGCACGGTGGCACAGCCAGTCTTGGGGAGACCATTCCTCCCACCCAGCTTCCTGGGGCGGTCAACACAGGAGCTCCCCAGAGAAAACTGTGGGGTGGGGGAGGGAAGACGGAGCCCTTCCAGGGCACCCCCGGGACCCTTCCACACCCGATTCAACAAAGTGCACACTCTGGGGCAGCAAGGGCATCTGTGGGGACAACTGTGGTCGTCTGCGCCAGTCTCTCCGCAGCCTCCTCCACCCTCCCTGGTTACTCTGAGGTGTGGACTGGACTCCTGTGCCCTGAAGGACACTCGGAGAGAGGGTGCCGGGATGAGTCACCAGAGTGGGAAAGAGGGAGCCAAGAGGCAGGCACTTTCTTCAGTGAAGGACCGGGTTTGCGTTAGAGATGGTCCTTTCCCCAGTAATTCGCTAGGGTTCAATTCCTGAACCCTCTGAGCGCTGGTGCTAGGCTGGAAAGGGGGGCAGGCTGTTTAGGGGTGATCTTAGGTGAGCGACACCCCGATCTTCCTCCTCCCTCTGTAAAGTAGGAGGATTGGTCTGTGGGGGTCCTGGTGTCCTCCGACGATGTTTCAAGAAGGTCTCTCAACACCATCCACAAACTTCCTGAAAACTGTGCGCGGTGAAGACAGCAACGGACACAGGGAGACAGACAGAGAGGTGTGCACCGCTCTCAGGCCTGAGATATTTCCAGAGGGACAGCTCTCCCCGGAAGTGGCTGAGGACACCCTGGGGGCATCAGTGGGGAAGGAAACAGATCTGTGTGGGCCAGGAACAAAGTCACAATGGGAGTGGCCTGGGGAGGAGAGAGTTAACCAGCGGCCGTCAGCCGCCACATCGACCCAGCGGGGCGCTGGGGGAGGGGGGCGAAGGGAGCCTGGAGAAGGGATCAACTTTTCTAACTTCCTCCAAGCCCCTCCCACCAAAGGCTCTTCTCCGCGGTGACTCGAGCTCCGAGGAATGCGGGTTGCCACGGTAACCCTTTTCAGGGTCTCCGCCGGCCGCTTGGGAGGGGCGGCTGGGAACTGGGAGGGAACCTCAGGCTCTATCCGAGCTCCCCACCTCCAAGCACGAGGACAGCGACCACCCTGGGCCCCGTCTTCCTGATCCCCACGCACCCCGGGAAGCCCGGGCCTTGGATAAACTCCCCGAAGCGGAAGAATGAAGCCGGAGGCTTTTGTTCTTCCTGCTGGGAAGCTGCGTCCAACCTCGAGCTGAGCCGGCTGCGTTCCGAGGTCTGCTAAAGAAGGCCCAGCGGCCCCTCCAGACAGGGCAGGGAGATGTGGGGTAGCGCCCAGCTAACCGCCTTGCAAACCTAGGGCTTCCTTCCTCGCGAAGCTCTTAGAACTAATCAATTCCCGGTATCCAAAGAGCCGGTGAAATCAGTTTGATTTTTTCCCCCCTCTGCTGCCTGCAACACTGTATGTGTATGTGTGTCATATAAACTTTCCTTTTTAGGGCCGGGGATTTAGCTCAGTGGTTCCGCCGCCTGCCTTGCAAACGCAAAAACCCGAGTTTGATCCCCGGTACCAAAAACAGACAAACAAAACTTTCCTTTATTAAAAGCACCAAGAAGCAAGTTTTTTAAACATCATGTTATATCATTTGAGGTTTTTGGTTTTGTTTTTGTCTTTCTTGGTACGAACTCAGGACTTTGGACTTGGGAGGCACAGTGCCACTGAGCTACATCCCTGGCCCTGTTGGTTTTGTTTTCAAGACAGGGTCTTGCTGTATAGTTCATGCTAGCCTCGAACTCACTATGTAGCCCAGACTGGCCCTGAACTCAAGGAGATCCTCCTGCCTCAGCCTCCCATGTACTGGGATTACAGGCGTGCACCACCATACCTGGTTTAAATTCATTCTGATTTGCAGAACTCCTCGTGTATTTCCCTCTAGTATCTTGTAGAAAGAACTTTGGCTGCGGGTATGAACAGAAGTGTGTGACCTTGGGAAAGGCGCTGCCCTTCTCTGGGCTCACTTTCCCCGTCTGTTAAAGGGGAGGCCTAAGGGTGGTCTGCACACACTCTTCCAGCCCTGCAGGCCTGCGACCCTAGAACCTAGAGGCTGCTTTCTCAGGAAGGGAAAATAACTCCCTTGAGTCCCCTAGGCAGCTGGTGATGGAGCAGTCCCACCTCCAGGCAGGGGTTGGAGCCCTGCCCTGTTTCCCCACCCCCCAGCTGGGTCTGGAGCAGGCCCCACTCCGGTCCTCCTTGGGGCTCCCGTCCTGTGGGTATCACGTGACTGGCAGCACTTCCTCTCCCCTCTTCAGGGCTCTGTCCCAGCCCCATGGCAACGCCATCATCCCCCAAGGCCCAGCAAATGTGGCTGATAAGGGGCTCATTTGCTGGCCGCAAGCTCCCTCCCTGACCTCCATCATCATGGGAGAGACGGAGGTTTCCTGACGGCCCCGGGGATCGGGGAAGCCACCTCTTCTTGACATTCAGAGCCTGGGTCCTCCCCGCCTTCCCAGCCTCAAGCGTGAAGCCAGCACCAGCAAGTAGGGACTTGACGGAATGATTCAGAAGAGCGGTCTCCTCCCTGGCTGGGGACCGCTCTGCCCTCGCCAGTCAAGCCTCATACCGCGATGTGGCCGGGGAGGGGTACGCACAGCGACAGCGGGGTCTTTTCAGAGACTGGTGTTAACCCCGCTCACCTAGGAATCCATCCAGGCCACCCAGTGCCGGCCATGGCATTAGGATCCAGGCTATCGGATGACTGGAAAAAGCAAGGCAGGCACCTAGCAGTTCTGAAGTCTGGAGCTCAGTTCAGACACCAGCTGGCTGTGTGACCTGGAGCGGGTTATTATCCCTCTCTGAGCTCTGAGTTCGTTGTCTCTAAAATAACGGGCCTGGCAGCGCCAATTCCTTGGGAGTGGCTGGCAGACCGCGGTGGGGATTCTGATGCCACTCCACAGTTCGGGGGGGAAGGGGGAAGAGGAGGCGTAGGCGCCAAGTGTCTGCTGTCTGGATGCTCCGGTTCTTCCCTGCCACGCAGCCCATTTCTTATTCCCTCCAATTGTGGTCACCCTGACGTGGCAGTGGCCCCTAGAGGGCGCCAAGGAGGCCGTCCGCAGCCAGGCACCCAGTTAGCCGCAGTGACACGTGGCATCTCGGGAGAATTTATGGCATCTCAGACAGCTGATTCCAGTCTCAGACTCTGGAGCTGCGCCCCCAGTCCCCACAGGGCCTCTGCTTGGTGTTCGCATTTCGCTTTGCTCTTCTTCCCTCCCAGCAAGAAATGTTAGAAGTCGGGGAGTCAAGGCAAAAGTTGGGAGAGGCGACTCTTCAAACCCCTTCTGCCTCAGCTGACTCAGGATATAAGAGCGAGCCTGCAATCCCAGCACATAGAGGGCTGAGGCAGGAGGATCACAAGTTCTAGGCCAGGTAGGGTGACACAGTGAGTTGACAGGGACCTTAAGAACGACTGTGCCTGAGTTTCCAGCTGTTTCTAGAAGAACCTAGAGACGTTCCAGGTGCCTCAGGTTCCATGTATGTAGAACTCCCAGCCCCCAACGCTACTTTTGTTTCGTGTTGTGTTTGTTTGCTTGTTTTGACACAGTCTCCCCGTGTAGCCCAGGCTGGCCTGGCACTAGTGATCCTCCTGCCTCAGCCCCCGCCGTACTGGGATCACAGAAGTGCACCACCATGCCCAACTGTACCTACTTTTGCTTTTTTAATTTCAAGCTTGTTTATTGAACATTGCCGTGTTTATACCAGCGCGGGTGACTTCAGCTGTGGGAGGCTTGAGAGAGGAATGTCTGCCTTATGTAACTGAAGGGTAGCACAGCCTCCCCATTGTACAGGCAGCCGGGGGAGCGGAGGTTCCCTCGGTGTCTGGGGGCAGTGCTGACTGGCTCCAGGACGTGGCGTCAGGACCCCTGACTGCCGTGTCATAAGTGGCCTTGGATGTCTGTGTTGGACCCGGGGAGTGTTGTCACGCGGGCCACACTGGCTGCACCTGACCCCTGTGGGACCCCTGCCCATTCCCCCCGTGCTAACCCTGGCTCCTGCAGTCCTGGCTCCTGGCACATGGCTTCCTGCATGCTTGTTTTCCTCCTTCTGGGCTTGTTTACCAGTAGTGTGGAGTTTTGGAACCTTGTTTCCAGGGCAAGCTGTGGGAGGGAGACACTTGACTTGCGTCAGCACTCAGCACCTCACTGAGAAGCCAGCCGCTGGGCTGGGCCGGCCCGGCTGGCCTCCCTGAAGGCATCGGGGCAGTGCCCTCTTTGGTCCACCCCTCACCCCCTTCCCCTAGGCCTGCAGTCAAAACCCTGGGATTTCGTCCTCGATTCTTAAAAGGGATGGGGGCTGGGACACTTGGGGTTCTAAGATGTTCTTCTGATGCATTGCTTCCCTTACCTCTCCACTTGTCTTCCCTCCTGTAAATCACCAGCGAGCCTTTCAGGGTGGCTGTTCTTTCCATTTTACAGCTGGAGGAGCCTCACGGAGCAAAGTCAGTTTCTGAAGGTCACGCAAGGTGGCAGGGACAGTGAGCTCCCTTTAATGCTACACTGTCGTTATAACCATCTGTCTGCTTCGGTAGCCATCTGGCTGTGCGTGGCTATTTGGATTTGAATGAATTAAAATGAAACAGTTAAAAAAACCCATTCTTCTGGCAACATTTCAAGGGTCCTGCAGTCGTATGTGGCCAGTGGCTGCCATGTTGGACTCGGGGGACCTAGAATATGAAGAACCCTTCGGACTGCATATTCCTCCATAGCCGCTTCCACTGCAGTTAACAATCGTAACAGATTCTGTGCTTCACGTCTGAAAGTATCGTTCGTTCTTTTATTTTTTTCTGAGTTGCGTAGACCGAAATTCTGTGATTCTGAGAGTCCTCCGTTCTGACCCGCAGTGGCTTTTCAGTGTCCCAGGAGAGCCCAAAGGAGGCCCTTTATGATTCGAGGGCCTGGCTGTACTTTTCCATCCCGGGAGTCCTTCTAAAGGGTGAGAAGTGACCTCCGGCTTGGGTCCTGCTGGCAGCCAAGTACGGGTTTTCAGCAGTCTCCAGAGCAAATAAAGGCGAGGAAGGCACTCGGTGTACGGGGCAGAAGCTGCGGGGGTGCGGTGTCTGCATGTCATGGCCACCAAGCCAAAGGAAACACCCCCTCCCAGGGCATTTTCCTCCAGCACTGTGGGCCAGCGCAGGCCGCCTGGGCTCATTAGGTGACCTCCTGCGAGGGAGTGGACGCCAAGGGCAACAACACACAGGTGAGGAACACGCCGGCACGCAGGGTGGACGCCAGGTCCTCACCGAGCGGGGCCCCTGCAGGCGGGCGTTGGCTGTCACTCATTCCTCTCTGGGCGCCGTCTCCTGGTCAGTGCTGTCAGACCTCAGTGGGGCGCCGGGTCAGGAAGCCTCTCTGGATGAATAAATACATGCACGGCCGTCCAACGCGAGGCACGAGGGGGGTTCGCACGTGCTACTGGTTTGTATGGAGGGGTTGGCACGGTCCCTGGACGCGCTAGGTCTAGGTCTGGTGCCCAGAAGACCACAGCTGGGAGTCCCGATGCTGGCTTTTGGCCCTGTGCTGCCTAGCTGGGGGCGACTGTTGCACCCCACCGGCTGTACAGGTTGGATGGTCCCAGCTGCTTTGGCCAGTAGTGTTTTAGGGAACATCGGAGAGGTATCTGGTGGGTATGCGGGAATATAGCGGGGAATGTCCAGGACGGCCCAGCAGCTTCCCTTCCCTCTCTGCCTAGCACCTGAGGACAAGCATTCTGAATTGGTGGTGTGGCACTGGGCGGATAATGAACTACAGAAAGCAGCTCCTTCTCTAAGACACTGCATTCTGTTCTTTTTTGGGGTTTTTTTTGGGACAGAGTCTCACTATGTCGTTGAGACTGACCTGGAACTCACTATGTAGCCCAGGCTGGTCTCGAAGTCACAGCGATCCTCCTGCCTCAGCCTCCTGAATGCAGGGATTACAAGCGTGTGCCACCACGCCCGGCTGTGCGTTTTGCTCTTAACATTCCCTCACCCACCCCTTTCTGAGCATGGCCCCCTCGAGGGGAGGCAGTTGGGGTGGAGGGGCCTGGGCACTACCTGTCTGTGGGCAAGTGCTTCTGCGCTCTGCCTCACAGCCCTCACAGGAAGGTGGGACTTGGACCCGCCTTTCCGGGTCATGGCTTCTTCCGCTCAGATGAGAGACACAGATGTGGGGAGTGTCTGTCTTGCCTGCTCCCTAAACTGAAGCTTATTCTGTTTCCAGTCTGCCTGGGCTCTCCCTCCACTGATGTAACTTCTCTGCCACTGTGTCCCAGACAAGGGACTTTCCCCCACCACCTGCTGTTTCTCTTGAATGATCGCGACTGGTCCCGAAGCCACAGCGATCCTCCTGCCTCAGCCTCCTGAATGCAGGGATTACAAGCGTGTGCCACCACGCCCGGCTGTGCGTTTTGCTCTTAACATTCCCTCACCCACCCCTTTCTGAGCATGGCCCCCTCGAGGGGAGGCAGTTGGGGTGGAGGGGCCTGGGCACTACCTGTCTGTGGGCAAGTGCTTCTGCGCTCTGCCTCACAGCCCTCACAGGAAGGTGGGACTTGGACCCGCCTTTCCGGGTCATGGCTTCTTCCGCTCAGATGAGAGACACAGATGTGGGGAGTGTCTGTCTTGCCTGCTCCCTAAACTGAAGCTTATTCTGTTTCCAGTCTGCCTGGGCTCTCCCTCCACTGATGTAACTTCTCTGCCACTGTGTCCCAGACAAGGGACTTTCCCCCACCACCTGCTGTTTCTCTTGGATCCTTCACAGTCTCAGACAGGTCCCTCATTGATGGTTCCTCATAGGTTCCAAAGCAGTTGTTTAGCTTGTGTCTTCCAAATGGAGAAGCGAGGAGGTGGGGGTTATTTCCACTTGAGCCTGGAGGGAGACAAGTGAGCAACTGTGTGAGACGAAGGACATTCCAGAAAGCTCTTGGACTCCTCTGGAGTCGCGGCCATCTCGGAGCAGTGCCACCTCCCGCCTCAGTTCCTTTAAGTTCCTGTTGGTTTTACTTCATTCGCCCTCCGTGAGCAGGGGCCGAGGTCTTGTGTCCCAGCTAGCCCGATAAAAGGCCGCTACTGCAGCCCACTCCCGATGTCCAAGGGAAGGTGGGGCACACCGAGGAGGGGACATGTGCCAAGATAAATGTGTTCCTGTGAGCGTTGTGGTGTTTTTTGGTGCTGAGGATTGAACTTAGGGTCCTGTGCATGCTAAGCCCGTGCTCTACTGCTGTGCTACACCTAGCGTTGCCCGTAATATTGGGAGAGCATTTGAAGGACCCAGTCAGCGCCTGTAAAGTCACCTAGTCCGACCCTCTCAATCGACATGGGGAACCAACATACAGTATTTAGTCACTGAGACTTTAATGAGGGGAACAAGAACCCCTAACATTGAATCCCCAGCCCAGTGCTTTTTTCCTTGATGCCTCTGTGCTTGGCTAGCTGCAAAGTCTTGGAAGGAACCAGGGACGATGAGCCTGATGTGGAAGTTTTGGGGGACAAAAGAGAAGACACTGTGCCTGCTGTCTTTGACAGAAAGTGGGGCAGGAGGAGTAGGCTTGCTCTAGGTGACTGAAGAAAGAGAAAGAACATAGACGAGACATTTGAGAGGCCTGTTTGGATCCATGTAAGGAAGAGCTCGCGAAAGCTATCTGGAAGCGGAAGTCTGTTCAGTCAGCGTGAGCAGTAAAATGCCTGCCTATCTCAGCTCCTCTAGCGGGGATGCCGTGTTGGTATTGAATCATCAGAGGAGATCTGACCTAAGATCCCATACGGTCGTGAGCCTTAGAGTCTAGAGCTTGTCTGGAGATCGGGTCCAGGCGGGGGGAACCTCTTCTAGATCTCAGCCAATATCTTCTCTGCCGTGTGTTGGAAATATTCAGTAGTTTCCCCGGAGGACCCAAGAAGTGCTGTCCCTTCTGGGTAGAGTGGAGAAAGAAATGGCCATGCACAAATTTCCACAGTCACACGCCAAGACTGTTGTTGAAGTGTGGATCTCATTGGCTCAAACTGCCAAGAGGTTGCTGACTGATTCCCTTCTCCCTCTATAGAGGGAGTGGGGAGAACGGCAGGGGAGGAGGAAGAGAGTTAGAGAGTAGGGAAAAATAACCTTCGAACACGAAGGATCCAAGAGCTCTTAATTAAGCATTGCCCGAATTTGATTTATTTGCCCATTACTTTCCCTGAATCACTTTTTTCCCCCCAGTACCAGGGATCGAACTCCAAACCCTGTGGCTGTGAGGCAGGCTCAGTGCCACTGAACTAAATCCCAAGCCCTAACTGAATCACTTTTTAAAAACCTAAATAAATGTATTTAGAAAGAAGAATTAACCCAGAATTGGTAGCACATACCTCACTTGGGGAGTGCGGCACAGCAGGATTGCGAGTTTGAGCCCAGTCTGGGCAACAGAGCTATTTAATGCAACTCTGTCTCAAAATTTTAAAAAAGGAGGATGGGGCTTGGGGAGGTAGCTCAGTGTGAATGTCCTATGTTCAATCCCTACTACCGGGAAATAAATTTTAAAAAATTAAAAAAAAATTTTTTCTATTGTTACTATAAGCGGAAAACTCTGCACCTTGTGCTAAATAGAAGGAAACTGTAAAAATGAACACAAAGAAAACAAAACGGCTTCATTCAGCTGCAGCTGGATCCAGTTTCCTGCAGCAGCCTGAGCCGGAGGGCTGCTCTCTCTGTTAGGGAGGAGGACATGAGGGCAGCACCGCTAGCCCTGAGCAGGCACTTTCTCCTCATATAGTCAGATTTGAGCAAACATCGAGTGGAAACACTTCCTCTCCTGTCTTTCCCCGTGGCTGGACAGGTGCCCTCCAAAATCACCCTGTGAGCCTCAGGAGCTCGGAAGGGACCCTGCAGGAAGCCTCCCTCACCGTCTCCATCTCTCCTCCCTACAGGGTTCCCAGCACCATGAGGGCCTGGATCTTCTTCTTCCTTTGCCTGGCCGGAAGGGCCTTGGCGGCCCCCGTAAGTACCTGGAGATCCCTGTCCTTACAAGGTCTCACCTTCTGTTGCCAGCTCTAGGGCTTCTGAATCTGCCAACCCTGGGTGCTGAGAGGGGACAGGAATTTCCCCATCTCGAATTAGTTATCTTTTTTTTTTTTTTTAAATGAATAGTTCTTCTTAAGCCAATAAGATCAGGAGAAAATTTGGAATAAGGTCCACTGGGCAGAAGTTCCAGAGAAGACTGGAAAAGGAACTTTGTAGCAGTCAGACCTTCCAGCGATGCACTAGGAAGTGGCCTCTTTGTCCTGTGAGGAAATCAAGAAGAGGTCAGGGATGGGGGGAGGCAGGTGGGAAGGGTCTTGGAAGAGAATCCAGCCCCACAGAGCGGAGGGGTTAGACTGCGTGACATGATTTGGTTTGCAAGCAAGAGACTCCAGTCTGACCTTGCTGGGTGGCAGGGTGGAGATGCAGGCATAATTTGTAACAGCAAAGACTCTTGGGACCACTGGAAAAGGGCAGCTGCTGGATCTGGGCAGGAACAGCTACTGGGCTGTCCCTGAAGTGCTGCCGCCCAAATGAATCAGCTTCAGCAGTTTTCATATCTTGAGAAAATGTGCCAAGAAGATTAAAAAAAAATTAAAGAGCGCCAGACTGGCCGAGTGCAGGTCCTTGACCTGCTTGTTGGCCTGGGGAGAATGAGGCACCCACCCCCATGGACAGACAGACTGGGGCCCGTCACTCCCAGGGGGGTGTTCAGCAGCACAGGATGGCTAACTAAAGCCAGTCTGCAGGCCGAGCCCAGGAGTGGAGGAGGCAGACGGGGCAGACACCCCCAGGGGCTTCTTTCAACCTGGGATTCCCTCCTCGTCCTTTTCCTGGGAGGCGGGTGGCAGACCCAGGCTGTCTTCCTCAGACTGGCAGATTTCAACAAAAGATTTGGCAAGGTTGGCCTTAACGTTAGGAGCAGCCCCTGCTGACTCGCATCTTTCTACTCTTAAGTTGAAACGGCGCACGGAACTGGCTAATGGGAAGAATAATCATTGTGTCACACTATGGGGAGGACTCAGCATTGATTAAAGCCACAGTTCATCCCCTCTGGCTGTCAGTGCTCCCGTCAGTACGAAGTGGGGGGTGATCTGAAGCGGTGGTTTTCAGACTTACAGGTGTTCGAAAAAGTAGGCGTGCTTTGCGGGCTAAACCGTAGACGGGCTGCCTAGATTCTAACATCGCAGACCTTCGAGAGAACTAGAAAGGGCAGCTCCAGGGGTCCGGGGAGCTGTAGCTATTGGACAGGCTCTGACGTGTCATCTGAATGAACCTGTGCCAAAGGTGTTCGTATCCCGAGACCACGCCTATAGAAAATATATAAAATAGCGAATATATGTATATCAAACATTGAAAAGCGGAGCTGCTCCAGGCTCCCTGGCTTCTTGGCCCAGTTCCCAGCATGGCGGTCCCTGGGGTGCAGCCTTGGGAATTTCCAGCCGGCTGCTCTCCCGTGCCCCCCACGCCCCCAGCGTGTGTCGCAGCTCAGGGTCATTTTAGAGGTGAATCTGACCTCGCTGCACCCCGCTGTCTCTTTCCAGCAGCAGCAGGAAGCCCTACCTGATGAGACGGAGGTGGTAGAGGAAACCGTGGCCGAGGTGGCGGAGGTAGGTGATGTGGAAAGTGGAAGGAGGCCCAGCCCCGTCCCCTCTGCACTCGTCCCTTCCCTGGTCGATCCAGACAGGTCTTGTGGGCATTTACCTGGGGTGTTTGCTCGTGTGCACACACGTGCCCCTGGAAATCCCAAGTACCCCCCCACACACACACACCTACTGCTGTGTCTCAGACCTTAAACAGAACGCTGCGGTCAGAGCTGTCCTTTCAGATACTTTATTTTTCATTTTTTCTTTCAAGATCACCCCAAATTTCTCCTTATAGAAAACATAAGAAAGGGTTCTGCTTAGGTTGCACAGCACGGGTAGAGGCCTTGGGACCTTTTTCTGGCCCCCCTCCCCTCCTCTTTTCTTTTTTTTTCTCTTTTGAAGTAGAGGAGATTGAAGCCAGGCAGGGCTTTTGCACTGAGCTATATCCCCAGCCCTTTTCAAATGTTTCCTTATTTTGAGACACAGTCTTGCCAAGCTGCCCAGACTGGGCTCTGACATCCTGCCTCAGCTTCTCAGCATGCTGGAATTACAGGCGGGTACCGTGCCTGGCTTTGTCATCCTTTCTTGCCCTGAGATCTTTGGTGCCCTCCAGGGCATCTCAAGAGAATTCCAAGGCACTATTAACACTTAATAGAAGGTTAATACTAAATTCACTTTGTAAATTAATTAAAAGATGAACAACAATAAATATAGGATGAAATCTAAAGTCTCCAGCTTGGCTTTTGCTCTGTGACCTGGGCCTTGCCCACGTTTCCATCTTGTCCCTCACCGTTTCTTAGTTGTACCTGAACGTTCAGGAGGAGCCCCTCTCCCTCGGTCCCTTCTGCAGGTCTGGGAAAGAGGCAGGGAGCCCTGGACTCATTCTTTTTCTTCTGTTTCAGGTCCCTGTGGGTGCCAACCCTGTCCAGGTAGAAGTTGGAGAATTTGAAGACGGCACTGAGGAAACCGTCGAGGAGGTGGTGGCTGAAAGTAGGTCCCTTCCTGTGACTGTGACTCTCGGCTGCCTAGGCTGGGGCCTGACGAGGCCTCTGAGGTTCCTGCCCATGGAAGTATAGGGTGGGCCGCTCAGGGGCTGTGGGGAGAGGCTGCTCTGACTGGGAGGCTAGGAATGCTCTCGGGCACGCAGTCCCTGGAAAAGATCCATTTATAGCCAGGGCCTCCGTACTGTGAGTGGCCAGAAAGGAAGTCCCTGGGCTGGACATGTCCTTCTCCCCTGCCGCTCTTGGCCCTGCTCACAGACGAGTTCCACATTCCCGCCGGGGTCACTGGTCACAGCTGGTCACAGAGCTCTCCCGTGGCCTCTGGCTCAGTCCTTAGAAGCATCTCTGGGGACAGAGGTCAGGAGTTTCCATGCTCTTGCACTTAGCTGAGCTAGACTCAGCCCAGGAACGAAGGCTGTGGGGAAATCAAACCTGACGTAACTCACAGCGCCGCCCGTGGAGGTGGTGTCACAGGGAGAGGCGGTCAGGCATGGCATCTGTACCAAGGTGTGGAGAGCGAGGCTCTGCAGGCAAACTGACCAAGGTCTGCACCCGGCTTCTCTGGGGCAGCTTGTGCAGCTGCTCTGAGCGTAGGTCTCCCCACCTCAAACTGAGAAGGATGGAATGGCAGATGCTTGCCCCAGGGGCCTTGGGAGGGCTGCAAGACAAAGGGACTAGGTGCCTGCAGAGCAGGTCTTAGTACAGGACACTTACAGGATCCAGAGCCGAGCGTCAGGAGGAAACACCAACGCGAGCCCGGTCCCCAGGGGTAACTCAGGGGCGTCCGTACCGGGCTTGGCACAGGAGTGCTTTGTTCGAGGAGAGTCACATTCCCTCCCCGCTCCACTCCCACCCCATCCGGTGTTTACCAGGCACAGCTGGGATCTGTTGTCCGGGGTGGGCCCCAGGCTGCTCTTCCTTTTCCTCTGGGGACCCTCGAGTGTGTTTTGTTGGACTCGCAGCTCCCCGGAGCTATGACAACAGCCAACTTTCTGAGCCACTCTAGAAAGTCTGCTCAAGATTCCAGAAATGCGGCCCTGAATGGCTCACCTGAGAAGGGAGAAAATGTCCCCGGGGCATCCATGCGATGGCATCTGGGATTTCTGGGTCCCAGACCGAGCTTCTAGCTCTGCACAAATGCCGGGTCCTGACCTTAGCTTGAACTCTAATCCTAGACTGAGTCAACTGCCCCCCCAAAATGCTGATTGCTAGGCTCAGTGGGAGTGCAGGGGGGATGGCCAGACCCCAGAGGGGGGCTCCAGCCGAGGCTGCTGGGCCAGCTTGAGCGGCTGTGCTGGCCTGGGTGTGCTAACCCTGTGCCCTGTGACTCAGCAGACCCTTGCCAGAACCACCACTGCAAGCACGGCAAGGTGTGCGAGCTGGATGAGAACAACACCCCCATGTGCGTGTGCCAGGACCCCACCACCTGCCCCGCCCCCGCCGGCGAGTTTGAGAAGGTGAGAGCTCTGACGAGGTCGCCAGCCTATGGCGTGTGAACAGCAGGGGGCGCACAGCCCTCCGTCGGCACGCGATCCGAGGCTACAAGCTGTTTCTTCTAAACTAAAACCTCATTGTTCGGGTTTACCTGAAGCGTTGGTGCTTTGTGATAAATAAGTGGGCTTCGGGTTGCAGTTTGGTTCCTCGACTCGAAAGGGTTCTCCTTCCCTGGGCTGAGGGACTGGGGCCTTAAGAGTACAGTGTGTCTGCCCAGATCACTATGGGTTCGGTGGCTCTTCGGGGCAACTCCAGGCTCAGCAGTTCCCTTGCTAGACCCAGTCACAGCAGAAAAGTGGTGCCGAGAAAGACGAGGCTCTGCCTGACTCTGTCTCTCAGCCACCCACGAGACTGGAAGAGGAACTGTTAGGTTCCAAGCTCTACGCTGGACTCTGGCTCTTGGGACTCTAGAATTCCCGGCTCTGTGCCAGACTCACTACATTGTCATCTGAGACTCCGTTCTCTGGAGTTTAGCAGGGTATGACGTCCAAAACTGAGGGTTCTGGCTCAGATTGAGGGTTCCCTTCAAACCTCTTCTCCGTCGCTGGTTAGCTGTACAATCTTAGCTAGGTGCCTGACTTTCCAGGTGTCAATTTTCTCATGTCCAAAGAGGCGGTAAAAATAGTCCTTAAATGCTAGGACTGTTGTGGGGATTTGTTAATACCTGTTACCTAATGAGTACCAATAAGTGCCACATGTTTTCAAATTATCTCTCATATGTGTCTATCCTGTCTCCAGTATCTGCCCATCCACCCACCCATCCAATCATCCAACTGAAGTAGATACTTTCTGTATACCCGCTCATGTCAACCACTGTGCCCAATTAGGGCAGCAAATCTGGTACCCGCCTCCTTCCCACAGCCTCCCATTCAGTGTCTTCCTCAATCTCTCCGCAAGATAAGAGCTCCTGGGTTCCAAATTTCTGCATCATTTGTTGTTAACTCTCCCCTCCCGTGACTCCCACCTCTGTATCCTGGTCACCAGTATCCAGCGATTTTCCCTTTGCAGTGATGCGTGAGTATCACTAAATAAATACGAGCTGGGACTCCAAGGACTCTAAGTGCAGCTGTACTCAGAGCTAAGTTCTGCACCCTTCGTAAGGATACATAGCCGGATCCCAAGGGGAAGATGCACTGGCGGATTCCGAGCAATCTCTGCTTGTTCCCTCCCTCCCTTGAGTGGAAGTCGCACAGACCTCCCTCTCACCTCAGCTACACGCCCTGGTGTGTCTGCCCAGGTGTGTCTGCCCAGGTGTGTCTGCCCAGAGAAGCCCACAAGACCCAGGCCCCGGAGTTTTCCCTGGGCCCTGCAGGTGCCAAGGCCCCAGCCTCTCGGAAGGAAAGCAGGCAGTCAGCACAAAACATGGCGTTGTCACTGTGCAGGGCCTCCTGTCCAGCCAAGTCCCCGGACCCAGCCGAGGGGGACACGCTGCCCTTCCCAAGGGTGACGGCCCCAGGCCTGCGGTGCTGTTTTTTGTCCCCCTTGTCTTTTCCTGTCCCCGCCTTGAACTCCCTGTCCACATGTCTCCCACATCCGCCCTCCACTCGGTTGTGCCTTTGTTCTGAGAGCCTCTGGGGCTCTCGGCACGGGCTGGACACTGGCCCGGAGCTCAGAGTGGATCCTTGTCCCAGCCACGCCAGGAACTCACCGTGGGACTGGGGGGAAGTTGCCGTCCTTGCTTGGCCTTCAGTGTCCCCGTCTTTGAAGTGGGCAGGGATGGGGCACAGCAGGAGGCTCTGGGAATCAAGGTGGGCACCCTCTGCTTGGCCACAGGTGTGCAGCAATGACAACAAGACCTTCGACTCTTCCTGCCACTTCTTTGCCACCAAGTGCACCCTGGAGGGCACCAAGAAGGGCCACAAACTCCACCTGGACTACATCGGGCCTTGCAAATGTGAGTCTGGCCTCTGGCCTCTCCAGCCTCTCAGCAGCTCTGCCACCCGGTGCTGTGTGATCTTGGGCCAATGTCTCCCCCTCTCTGAGTTTCCAGGTTCCAGTTTGCAAGGGGAAATGATTATCTATGAGTAGGTTCAGGACATAAGATAGGATTCAGCAACTGGGGAAGCACAGGATCCCGGAAGATTTCTGCAGCCTCTTCATGGCTTCCAGGACCACCGCACTGCCTTTCTAACAATGCGGACGTTCTTTTCTGGTCTCCAAGTTCCCAGGCCTTCCTTGCTTCAACACTGCACGTGCTGTTCGGCCTAGGCCTTCCAAGTGTTTGAAAATATTTGAATTTGAAGGCTTTACAATCGGGACATGGTCGTCAGTTTCTCTCAGGCTGTTCCTTACTATCGCCAGCTCCTGAGGCCTTTTTCTCCATCACGGTCCTGTCCTCCTCCTCAGGGCCTACAACAGCCACACCCTCCCAGAAACCTGGGGGCCGGTGCCTGGGGGACAGGACACCAGGGCGCGGTGTGGCTCGTTGTCAGGGATCCCAGCTGGCACAGATGCCACCCTCCCTGTCATTCGTGACACCTGAGACAGCACCTACCCCCGCCCCCAAGACAGCACACCTTGTATCTCTGGGCCATTCCAACATCAGGTGGGGCTGAGGGGAGCCACTCATCTGCCTCAGGTGTGCAGGCCGCAGGACGCAAGGTCCTTGTTGGACTTAGCCTTAGTCTCCTCCTCACAGGGCCCAGGGGTGACAGGAGAAGGGCGGAGCCGGAAAGCGCTGTGCTGGAGGAGGGATGTGGCTCCTGCTGGCCTCCACAGCACATGGTCCGCTCCAACTCCTGCCCCACTGATGGTGGCCCTGACCCACAGGGGGCTTTGCATAGGTCCACAGCAGAGGGGACCGCGTCCCCTGGTGCCCCCCGCCGGCAGGCCCTTCACCCCGGATGCTTGGTGAGGCTCCGCCTGGGGGCCCCGGTACAAGTCCCTTCCCGGCACCCTGACTTCCGATGAGTGAGTGGACCTGGTCGAATCTTCCGGTGTGACATTCGGGATCCTAGGTCCCAAGGGCCAGGCCGGAGTCCTCGTCTTAGAAATTCCGGGGGTGAAGAATTCACAATTCCTCTTTTCCCGCTGCAGCTGCCAAGCTGGCCTAGGAATGGGGGTTATTCTTAGCCCCTTGGCTTCAGTCGCCTCTCAGCCTCTGTCTTCCCCAGGGTGGGCTCAGGCTCTGCCAGGGGCACCACCAGCGCTTTCACCCGGAAAGGCTCAAGGCCTGGGACGCAGCAGCCACCGATCGGACGTTCCCACCCCTGGGCGTGCAGTGGTGACGTGGCCGGGCCGGGATAGCAGGGCCTGGGCTGATCTCCACCATGTTCTGGATCCTAGACATTCCCCCCTGCCTGGATTCTGAGCTGACTGAATTCCCCCTGCGCATGCGGGACTGGCTCAAGAACGTCCTGGTGACCCTGTATGAGAGGGACGAGGACAACAACCTTCTGACCGAAAAGCAGAAGCTGAAAGTAAGCAGGTCCTTTCCAGCCAGGCCCAGGCGCCAGCACTGCCAGGGTCCCCGCCGGCCTCAGGCTGGCTGGGATCCAACCCCAGCCCTCGCCCCTTCCACACGCAGCTCCTCTCCGCCCTGAAGCCCAGCGGCTGTGACGTCCGGGAGAGTGGGAAGGGGACCCCGCTTCCTTTGTTTAGCCCGGTGATAGCACGGAGACAAAACAACCCCATAGTCTTTCTGAGTCTGGGCTGTCACACTATACCAGGCATATCGAGCACCTGGCAGTGTTGATGAAATGCAGATTCCCTGGCCTCGCTGCCGCCTTAGTGAATCAGGGAAGCTGCATTTCACACACTCCCCGGGCGATTTCAACGTGGGCGGCTCTAGAGGGCACCTTGGAGAGTATCCTGGGCCTCCACTTCTGGGAATGAAATGCCGCTCCACCCTGTCACTTCGTCTCAGCGTTTCGGAGGCAGTGGGGCCCGGCTGGCCAGGTCAGTCTCCCCCGGGCCCCAGGTCGCCAGCGTCTCTGCCCCCACAGGTGAAGAAGATCCACGAGAACGAGAAACGCTTGGAGGCCGGAGACCACCCTGTGGAGCTGCTGGCCCGGGACTTCGAGAAGAACTACAACATGTACATCTTCCCTGTGCACTGGCAGTTCGGGCAGCTGGACCAGCACCCCATTGACGGGTAGGACCCCAGGGCTTCCGGATCCCTGGAGCAGAGGGTGAGGGGTCGAGGCTGAGGCAGAAGGAACTGGTAGGCAGTGAAAGGAGGCGATGGGGCAGAGGAAGCTTTGAGGCCCTCTCAGGCCAGGGCTGAAAGCCTCCTTAGGTCTGCAAGCGCCAGAGCTTTGACACATCAGCTCCAGGGGGCTGGGGCTCAGGTGGAGCAGCCTGCAAGCTCAGGCCCTTCAGGAGCAAGTGGGAAGGCACCATCTGGCTGAGCCACCGGACCCCACAGGAATTTGCTCGCCCCCCTCCCCCACCTCATCTCAGAGCTGAGGGTGGCCTTGCTTGTGTCCCTGCTCCTTCCTGGACCTCTTTCCCCACCAGCACAGAGAAGGGAGTGTTCCTTCCAGTTTAAGTGTGGTACAGTTCCTTCCATGAGTTGGGTAGGGGTGAGAGGTCCGGAATCTAGAAAGAAAGCTGAAGCCGCTGTGTTCCCTAGAGTCCCTGGGGTGGGGTGGGGGTGGTGCCACAGGGCTGTGGCGGAGAGGGACAGACCCAGGATCTTTCCCTCCATGCCACGGGGTGGCCACACTGGCCCACTGTTCCTCTGTGTGTATTGTGGAGGGGTGGTTTTCTCACGCATGCTCACTGCCGCCTCCCCTCCCCACAGGTACCTGTCCCACACCGAGCTGGCCCCGCTGCGCGCACCCCTCATCCCCATGGAGCACTGCACCACCCGCTTTTTCGAGACCTGTGACCTGGACAATGACAAGTACATCGCCCTGGAGGAGTGGGCCGGCTGCTTCGGCATCAAGGAGCGTGAGTGGACGCCGCGGCCCAGGGTGGCCGGCCTCTGGGTGTCTGTGCGTCTGTCCCCCCTTGGCCCTGTTTGGCTGTCTCAGCCTTGATCTGTTGGGTGTCTCCTGGACCCTTTCCCTCTCCTGCCTCTGGCATTAGCCCTGTTCTGTGCCAAGCACTATTCTGGGAACTGGCAGCTGTGGAGAGGAAACAGGAAGTGGGACTTGGCCGGAGCACTGCACCCACCCAGCGCCTCATTTTAAATTTGGTCTCTTTCCTTGCTTTGCAGAGGATATCGACAAGGATCTTGTGATCTAAATCCAGCCTCCTTCCGCAGAACCGGATTCTCTCTCTTTGACCTGTTCCTTCCTGTTCCCCCCAAAGTTTAAAATGTTTGGATGGTCAGTCGTTCTGCCTGGGGATAAGGTGCTAACATAGATCTAAATGAATACATTAACGGTGCTAAACATGGAAATCGTAACAAGTCGCGACACTCTAACTCCTAACTTGACTCCGGAGGCCTCTAGCTCGCGCCTAACAGCCACACCGCTTTTCTCTTGCCATCTGCAACGCCGCCCAGGGTCTCCTGGCTGTGGTGAAAATCCACGCGCTCCATTCTGCTGCTCGCACAGCGCATCTTCAGACTTTCTGTGTCACTCTGCTAACATTCACCGAATCAGACCTCGTGTTCATTTTATGTCAGGGTTTGGGCTGCCCCGGGTCTCCCCCGGTGGCTGGGCAGAGGGAAGTAACAGACAGAAATGTGGGTGACGGTGTTTCTGGGGCAGAGGACCGGCGGTGGGAGAGATCCCTGTGGAACCGGGGAGAGGGTCCCGTTTGCCTGGGCTGTGGCTGAGAGAGGGTCTGGGGGTTCGTTCCGAAGACGCAGAGACTCGCATGCACCCCACTCCTTGCCGTTTCCGCCTGCGCTCTGCTGAGCAGTTTCTGTGTCCGTCAGGCTCTTTATTGAGATTTACGGGAGCTGCGGCTAACAGTTCTCTGCGGGATAAACGAGCGTGTGCTACAGGGTTTCTTCCCTCCTAACTTCTTTTGGAGATTTTAGGCTTCTTCTCAGGGGCTCTAGGGGCTGGGAGGCTGTTTCAGGTAGGAAAGCCAAAATTCAGAGCGAGACACAGAAAGTCGTAAAGCAGAAAAAGTGAAGTTTGGTGAACTGGTTGTTTTGTTTTGCTTTTTTTCATATTTAGAAGGCTGGCATAAGTTTTCTAGCATATTCCACCTTTTCTTTCCCCATTTCCTCTTCTGTTCATCAAGAGAAACTTCATAGTCAACCGGATGGTCGGATCTCACAGGCTGAGAACTTGTTCACCTCCAAGCATTTCATGAAAAAGCTGCTTTGTATTAATCATGCAAGCTCTCTCTCCGTGGTGGGGAGAGTTTGGCAAACCTTTCAAAATAAAAAGTAATGACTTAGAAACCGCCTTCCTGGGTGATTCTGCATGTGTCTTAGTCCTGATTACCCAGACACGCAGACACAGGGACACCTAAGACCACAGAAATGCACACAGAGTGGTGCTTTTATGCACGCACCTGCGCACACAGCCTGACACTCGGGGTGCAGGCTTCCTCGGGGTGCTCCTTCGACTAAATTTAAATTGCAAGACGTTACAGGTGCAAAGGAGGAAGAGCATAAGAGATTGTGCATGTGTATAAATAATGGCATTCTAATATTATTGTCCTAGCGTTATTGTATTAGTTACAATGTCAGTTATTCAGAGAATTCGTTTTTTTATGCTAGTTCATTACATATGTAGTATTTTCCTAGCATTATTCTAGCACCCCACAGTCCCATGTGGTAGGCACCATGTGTGTGTGACTGTTTGGATCTTTTTTTTCTTCTTCTTCTTTTTTTTTTTTTGAGACAGTTTCTCACTTTGTAGTTCAGGCTGACCTCACAGTGATCCTCCTGCCTCAGCTTCCTAAGTGCTGAGATTAAAGGCATGCGTCACCATGCCCAGCTGATCACTGTATTAAAAAAAAATTATTAGTACATGTGAGCAGTACATGATTTCATTAATCTTGGGGTGTCGGTCCATGTGCCTAACACATCTTAGTTCTTTTTTCAACCCCTTCTCCCCTTTTCACACCATCTCTTGGTCCCTTACCGAAGCTTGTCTGTCCTTCTAGCATATTTCAGGTGGATGTGCTGAGACTCCTCTTAGGAGAAATGGGACCAGAAGTGCTCAGTTACAATGGGCCACCTAGCAGGGTCTTTAGATGTCAAGCTGAGAAATCGTCTCCCCTCTCTTATATTTGAGGTTACTAAAATAACACGGTCACTGCAAGTAAGACAAAACAAAGAGAACAACAGTTGGCTTTTGTTCTCCTAATCTGTGGATCTGGACAGAGAGATGGATGTAGGTAAATGTCACACGGTTCGGCTCGGTGTGGGCCTTCCCAGCCCACGGCCTCAGGAGTGAGGCAGGTGGCCCCGAGCTGCCAGGGCGCGCAGTGCCCTCAACTTCAGAGAGTCACGTGAGCACGGCAGGGAGCAGTCATGGGAAACCATGTGGACCTGTGCTGCTCAGAGAGGGCGGGAGATGCGGTCCTGGCCTCCGATGAGGGACGCATTCCCATGATCTGCTCAGCCTGGGTGGCCATTCCCACCACATCCGCTCAGCCTTACTCCACGGTGAGGTTGGCTGCCTTGGCTTAAAATGAGGCAGCCGGGAACCTAGAGCCTGCACTCCATCCCTCAGGGTTTCCCTGTGGGGAGCTGAGAGTCTTCAAGGAAGAGGCAGCAGCAAAGGCACAAGAGGCAAGATTCAGCCAGGCGGGAAGGGCAGAGGAGGGAGGGCCGTGGCACGGCACAGCAGACCTGGCCCCCTGCCAGAACCCCCCAGGCAGGGGTCCATTTCTGCTTCCTGCATGTGCCCTCCCTTTAAAGCTAATCACACACACACACACACAACACTGAAAGGAATGGTACCACTATCTTAGCTGGAAGATCAACTTCATTTACCATAAATAGAGATATACCTCAAAGATAAATGCAATAAAAATACAAACAGTGACAAAAACATGATGCAGGCATGGGTGTGCCCCACGCTGTCTCTTGCTAAAATAATTGTTTTGCTTCATAACCAGATAGTCTGAAGGAGAACTGAATTACAATGCATTCAGTATTAATGAATGCCAGTAACTCTCCTAAAAGCACCTTCCTTCCCTTCTGGTAATGCCTCTTCACCTAAGGCTCCTCTACGTCCCAGAACCCTTTGTGGGGGCGGGCTCGGCCCCGCCTTTGAGGAGAGTGGAGGGGCACAGGTCTGGGAGCCAGAACACAGATGCCCCCCTCCCTCCCTTGCTGGCTCCCAGCCTCTGCAGCCCAGTGACTCAGCACCGACCTCCTCTCCCTATCTGAAAATCCTGATAACCACGGTCCTGCCTAAGAAGTGGTTTGTCTGCCATGGAGTGCGCCAGGAAATCATCACCTCACACCCGCTCACCTGTCCCAGCCTGAACGGGAAGGGCGCCCCGTTTCCTAGCCTGGCCCCTCACACCTGCCCCCTCCTGCATCCACGTTACAGGAGAGTCTTCGCTGTTCGACTCCAAGGGTGCAACACATCCAGCTGGAAACGGAAAGCAAGGACTCTAAGTTCTAGGATCTGTAATTTTTCCTTTTTTCGGGGGGTTGGGGGGTGGTAATGGGCTTTGAACCTAGGCATGATGGATCACTTAACTACATCCTCGGCCCTGCTAAATTAAAAACTTAAAAAAAAAATTAGTACATGTTTGCAGTATAATTACATTCATTGTAGGAAATTGGTATGTGTAATTACACATCCCAATTCTTTTTTCCTTCCTTCCATCCCCTTTTATTTTGCCAGCACCAGATTCAAGGGCACAGGAAGCTTCTGCCCTCTCGGGGCTCCTGCAGGCCCCACTTCTCATGGCAGAGGGCAGCGGGATGAGATGGTTCTATCTTCAGAGACTCTCAGGATAGCGGGGCCTCTGGGCGGGCAACCCTGGACCAGTTTTCTAGGTTTACGACCTAGTTACCAGAAGGCTCCCCGGAGCCAGGCGGACCAGCCGCTCCCCTGCAAATCACCTACCCGCAAGGAGGGCTGAGGAAGCTCAGGGCGCCCCCTGGCGTGGCTAGAGAGAAAGGCTTCCCGAGCTGTGAGAAGGGCGGGCTGCTGCCAAATCCACAGGGCCCCTCATCTTCAGGTGGGGAAACTGAGGCTCAGAAAATACCTCCTGTAGTAGGATTGCCAGATAAAACACAAAACTCCCAGTGAGATTCTAATTTCGAAGAAGCAACAAAACAGTACAAACATGTCCTGTGAAATGCTTAGGACATATTTCTACTAAAAAAATTGTGTTGTGTATCTGCTCTCCTGCAACCCACCCCAGACAGGGCTTCCCCATCAGACCCGCCCAGTGTCCTTCGCTTGTCGTTCTGCCTAGAACACAGCAGGGCCGTGGGAAATGCTTGTTAAAAATCATTCTTTTATCAGTGAAATTAAACGAAAGGGCTGCGATTTGTGTCTTTGTTAACTTGGCAGTATTCTCCCTCTGTCAGCTGAAGTCCCAGTCTCCTTTGTTAAGTATTTGCCGAGGGACAGAATGCAGAGGGGTACAGTGCACGGAGCAGGCAATAGGCACACAGGGGGCCCTGGCAGCCAGACTTTAGGAGACGGTGAGCAGCGGTCTGTGATGTTCCGCACAGAGCTAAGCTCAAGCATGCCTTGGTTTACAGCGTCCCTGCAAAGCAGGATATCTCAGAGCAGCGCCAAAGCAGACACGAACATGCTCATGTTAATAAAGGGAATTTAGATGGAAAGGTCAGATCATCGCTTCACGCAAAAGCCACACAGGAGGCGAGACAGTTCACAGTGCAGGGCTGTGCATTCGTCGGAGGGACTGTAGCCTCTGCCGACCCTGCCCCTCAATGCCAGAAAGGGCCCCGCACCCCGAACGCCTCTGTACTTTCTTTCCCAGTGATGTGGTGGAGAGCGTCCTCTCAGGATGCGGAGGAACTCTACCTGCAGGGACCAGCAGGGGGAACACTGACCTCAGAAATGCGAACCCCACGGACTACCGATGCCCCGCCAACTCTGAGGCACAGCCTAAACTGCGGGGTCTCGGCACACCGCACACCGTTATACGGAGAAACTGAGTTGCAGACGGGGCACAGACGGAGGTAGATTCACTCTTCCGGAACAACTGGAAAATGAATCCAAGAGACGGAACCCATAGAATGTCGTCATCTCTGCGCTCCGACAGCCAGTCCGCATCTCCAGTTCTCGGCCACAGGACAGAGGGAAGGCAGAGCCCTCTGGCTGCTGGCACCGAAGAGAAGGCCATGTGGGAAAGTGGAAAGTGAGGATCCAGGAGGCTCAGTTCTGGCCCCAATCCCAGCAAAAACTGGAAAACTATACTTTCCCCACCAAGCACCCTCCAATTACCTTTTTGTAATGAAAGTAATAGACATATGGTAAAAGCCACCAGACAAAAAAGTTCAAACTGTGAGGGAGGCTGCAGAGTGAGGTAGGCTAACTACTAATATTCCTTGCTTATCTTTCTGGAAATATATATTCAATCATAAAAGTATATATAAGCACTTATTTCTATCTCTAGACATATTTATTGTTACACAAATGAGATTATGATGTACCTCTTGGTTTTAAATGTACAATGTACTCCCAGTGGCCATGAGCCACATATGCCTCCTTCCTTCCAGGGATGGCAGGACGGTGCCTCACACGAGGAACAGACCGGTGTAGCATTGCACCTTGCGGTAACCAGCACCCTGTGTTATCTCTGGAGGTGTCCTGCGCCGACAGAGTCCCCCACTGAGCACGGCCTCTAAGTGCCTCTCGGTGCCCAGAGCTAGGCTTTCTGTAGGGTCAATTCCTGAGAGTGGAATTGCTGGCTCCGGAAAAACGTGTGAGCCTAAGTCACTGACAGGCGTTGGCAAAAAGTCCCCCAGACGCACCGACTGCCACTTACTCCTGGGTTTGGAGAAGGCCACTTCCTCTCCTGGCCGGCCTTGGGAGTACTCACCTGTGAGGCCTAGGTCTTCTCACCCACGAGGAGAAGAGGGTTGGGCAGGAGTTTAATCTCCAAAGTACCCTCCTTGGGGAGGGGAAGGGGCCTCAAAGGTAACCCTTCGGGGGTTGTGGCCGACCTGTATAGTTAAGGGGGGTATAGTTAAAGGGTGCCACCTGCCCTGCGACCTCTGCAGGGTTAAATGGCCTTTCTCTTCTCTCTTCTCTCCTTCCCCTGTTCCCTTTTCCTCCCAGCAGAGCGGAAAATGCCCGAGACCATCATTGGGAGACCAGTCCCAGCAGCAGCTGATCCCTGGCCTTCCAGCAGGACTAAGTCCTCCCGCCCTGCCTGTCCCTTCTGCCACCTGGTGTGACCACTCCCGCCTACCCACCCAGCGCTCCATGGGGGTCTCCGAGATAGCATCTGAG